GACACAAGTCACATACATATAATATTATTCACTTATATCTTTACTTTACTTTCATTAATAAACCTAAATATGTGAGGATAACAATTTAAATTCTGTAATAATGATGACAAATTGAAGGGCTTGATTAGCGTTTTTGTGGGGTGCAGTTCCTCTAACAATTTTGTCATTTTTTCCTCAAATAGACTGCATTCTAGTATTATGTGTTCAGTTGATCCAATTGGTGCTCCATATTGACACGATTCTGATACTTTTACTCCTAGCCTTTTCAGATGTGCGGGTAAGTTGCCATCGTTAAATCTCAATCTCGTTAATGATACGATTGTACTTCTGTTTCCATTTACAAATTTCCGGAACCATGATTTCTTTTACAGCGATATGGTCCCCTTGTCTTCGACGAACTATTCCATTCTTCTTGCTATTTGTCAAATATTTTTTGTTCAAAATTAATCATATAGTAGTTATTCACTGTGGCTGCGTGGATTATTGTTCCACCCATTTTGCTATAGTGTACGCTTTTTTGTTGCTTCTAATACCAAGCTGGGATCTTATTCATAATAATTGATATGACATAACCATATGACCGTGCTCCAACAGATTTATTTAGTATAGTATATAAGTCTAGTTATTGTAGACTTCATATTGTAATGTTCAATTTGTGAAAATAGATTTTTCAGTTTGTCTAAGCAGCTTTTGCTATCAGTGACAATACCCGCTTTAGTGAATTTGATACTTTCGACGAATTCGATTGCTTTTTTTATGGCTATTAACTCTGCTGGCCAAACTGAAACAAAGTCTGGGAGCTAATATCCTATTCTGATATTTGTTTTTCAAAAAATATTGCACAGGCAGGTTTATTTTTTAAGTTTTGACCCATCTGCTAATATAAACGCCTATAGTTTGTAGGTGTGGAGATCATTGCATCTATACATAATCTCAAACATTTGTATTGGATTTTGCCTAGCTTCCTGCAATGTGAGGAATTATTGAAAACTAGACTTCTAAAATCGAATGGTGGTCTAATTAATGTTTTGTATAAGTTTAGAGCTGTTGTAGGGTGAGCTCTCTACTATGCTATATTAACAAATCTATTACCTATATTCGCAAAATATTTTTTGTTTCAACTTTTTTGATGACCTGATCTATATGTGCTTTAAAAGATAATCTTCTGTAGAAAGTGACACCCAAGAATTTAAAGGTTTCTTGTATTTTAATTCTGTGATATTCAGTCGTTAGTGATTCCTCTAGCTTTCTTCGCCTTGAAAAAACTCCTATTGAGCTCTTTTCATCTGATAATTCGAGTCCTTGCTTTGAGAGTCATCTATATCAGATACTTTTTAGAGATTTTCATAATAGTTTCAAATTTTGTTTACATTTTTATGGGTTGCATACCAATGTATAGGCTGCGACGCGGCGCCAACGCGCTTAAATATTTTGTCTAAGTAACATCGGCGTAGTACGATTGCTATAAAAAAAGTTAGTTTTCGAAAAAACATAAGAATATAAAAAAAATCAAAAACTGATTTTTATGAAATTTTGACGAAATAACTCCAGAACGCACGAACCGATTTCGACAATTTTGCATTCGTTGGAAAGGTCTCGGGCTCCGCAAGGTTTATAGCTAAGAAAATTAGTTGTGCATGACATCGTGCCTTAATGCAAGCTGCTGGAATTTTACGCACCGTAATTAAAAATTCGAGTAATGACATTAGTGAGAATTATCAGAATTATGCTTGGTTAAGTCAACGAGCAATTCTTGCCGCAAAGAATAATGATGTACACGCCCTGAATTTCACCATTCAATCAAAAATTGCTGGCGATTTGGTGACATACCAATGATTCTGACTGGTTTTCCGTTTGACTTCAAACGATTGCAATATCCAGTTCGCCTTGCGTTCGCAATAACATGTCGCAAGGCCAAACGCTTAGTGTTTGCGGGATAAATTTCATATAGATTATTTAGAAAATCATTGTTTTTCACATGGGCAGTTATACGTTGCCTGTTCACGAAATTGGAAAACCATCCGCTTTGTTTGTGTTAACGTCAGACCAAAAAACAAAAAATGTGGTTTACCAAAGATCACTTCCATAAATGAGTAATTTGCGGATTCACTTTCATTTACGTAGAGAAGTTCAACTAAAAAACACTTCATTTTTGTAATCAAAATGAATTCGTTACTGTTGTATAATAAAATCAAATTTTTCCTTTTAAAATATAAAACAAACAAAAAATTTCTTCATCTTTCTCACGAAACCATCTGGTGGCGAAACGGAGTTCGTCGGGTTTGCTAGTAATTTATAATATGATCATATTCATGAACACTTAGTGTTGAATTTTTTGCTACCATATTCAAGTGATGCTAAGTAAGAGTCGATGATTATGTCATCTAACCACTCATTTTCATATAAAGTAAAAAAATTATTCAATTTAATGGCATATTTACCAAAAAATTCTATAGTATACAATATATCCCTATTATACATGAAGCTTTTATATAGAAATGAAACTCTATAGCTACGTTAACAATTATTGTTAGGATACAAACCTATTTTTAGATATGTACTAGAGTCAGCAGAGTTATTTGATTAAGGAAAAGCATTTTTCCTACATCGGTAAAAATTGACCGGATTATTAGATTTTTTGTTCTATGTTTCCTTTGCATCTCTAATATCTACTGTCGTGGTGCTATGGCCCTTACTTAATTTTTCGGTTACTTTATTTACTGTGTTGGTTTTTTCATTTTTTTAAATATTGTTTTCCATGCTTAACTTTTTTTGACTTGCATTTCTTCTTCTTTGTCTAATATAACTTTTATTACTAAATCATTATTGTAAAGCGTCATCAAATGTTCAATTGTATCTATGAAATGTGACGGTTTCATATATTTATTACCATGGCAGATATTGTTCTTTAATGTATTAAAAAATAATTCGACAGCAGTATTTGAATACAAATGTTTTCTGTCATTATTTAGCATTAGACCTGACCACAAAGGTATAATTGGAATATACCTGTCCTTTACATAATTTAGGAAACCTGGAAAGCAAAAACGATTAGTAAATCCTTCTTTCGGCATAATCTTTTCGGCTTCGCATTTAATATGAAGGAAATCTTTATAAAATAGACTATTTCGTAAAAGATCTCGACATGGTTCACGATCATTCATTTCTGAAACATCAGTATCAGTCAAGATTGTCTTGTGTGACACTGAGTCATTATTTTAAAATAGATTTATTTCCTTGATTGCTAAATCTATTTGTACATTATAATATTTGCTACCTAAAATCCACACAATATGAGTGAACATTTTTCGAGCATGGTTTAAATCTCTACATCTTTTACCTAAAAGAAAAATAATTGACCTACAGCTAACGATATTATTTCCTGATTACCATTTGCATGATATGACAGTCTCTTTGTGAAATGACTGCAACATAAATGCAATGTTGTTTTCTGTAAAAAATTTAAAACTAATTATATACTTGGTTACAAAAGTAAATCTTTATTTCTTTAATTCTACAATATATTTATAATATACAAAATAAAATCCCGACTAGCAAGTGTACCGGTCAATTTGATATATAATAATCATATCAGTATATAAATCCCGCCTCTTATATAGGTAACAATTGATTATATAACAGGTACGTTCTTGTGACGATTTGCATGCGGTCGTATGCAGTCGTTTGCAGTCGTCGTCTGCGGTCGTATGCAATCGTATATAGTTGTATGCGTACGAGATGGATCCCGTAAGTAACTATTATCATTCAAATATATATATCACTTAGTATTATAATCAATCAAATTTGTATTATTGCAACCTTGGATTAATGCATGAATGCTTGCATAGCTGTGGTCGCAAACCACGCGTTTAAAAGAGATACAATTTGCTTTTTCGGTGAAATTGTCATTTCCCGTAACATCATAAGGATAAGGACTAGATCCACATTGTCGTCGGGATAGAATTCATTTTTCTTCCTTTCTTCAGACTTTGCCTGACGCATGCAAACTTGTGAAGGTAGATTGTATACTTTACCAAAATTTTCATATGATTCAGGAAATTCTGTTATCATATCTTCGAACTGCTCAAGACGACATGCTGCCGGTTTTTGATGTTTAAGTTTTTTTTTTAAATCATCTCTGTCTTTTCCTCTTAGTTGCCTACACCTAAGAATTGGATTAGTATCTGTACCATGATTAAGTATACCTTCAGGTATGATTAAAATTTCTTTAATCATTTTTTGATGAGGATCAACTTTAATGTGAGCATTAAATATCATGCAATTTCCAACTTTCTTCACTTCCTTTTTATTGCGTATCTTATAAATATTATGCCTTGCCTTACCTTAATATATTATTCCGGTCCGCGTGAAAAAACTCTATCTTAATACTACTTCTGTATAATCTTGATTATAAACGCACTGAACGTACTAATTACATTAAATTAATAATATGATTAAATATAAACTATTATTGGAAATTATCAACTACGTTATAATATTAATATTATATCTATTGATACGTCTCAGCGCGTTCTCAAATTCCAAATGAGCTAGTCTCGCGACTCAAGCCCGGCATGGGATCGCACACACACACAACACACGCGCGCAAACAACCACGCAGCATCCATGCTGCGTCCCCACTGCACGAATCCGTGCGGCGAATCCTGTTCGCGACGCACGCATGCGTTGGCTCTGTGCGCGACGCACACTGCGAGCAATTTGACGTTTAAGTAGATGTTTCGTTCGATGTAAGTTGGTGATTGCGAGTACAGTTTTCTGTTGTTGTTTTTTTATATAAGTGTTAGTGAAAGATTTGTTGAGTTATTAAAGCATAGTTAGTGAAAGTAAAGGTGGATGTTATTAATAACGATAAATATTTTAATAACATTTATTTATCTTGTATTTATATTTCAGCTTAGAAGAAAACTGATCGGTTTATGTTCAAACGTTTGATTTTCGGTCTCGAAATAAACACTTTATTTCCAGGATTGGTCTTTACAATGGGTGATCGCAGGCCAGACCCTAATATCATTATGATGACATATTGGCTCCTGAACGAAAATTCTACAAAGTCTTCTGCGAGAAAACGCCGTTATTGGATGGCGCCTTTATTTAAAACCCGAAATGATGTCCTCAGGCCACTAATATCCAACGAAAACACTGGTCATTTCAGAAATTTTATGAGAATGTCAGTGGAAGACTTCCAAATACTTATTGATATGGTAGGACCCAAAATTGGAAAAAAAGATACGTCATTTCGATGCTGCATATCTGTCAAGGAGCAATTGGCTGTTACTCTAAGATTTTTGGCTACTGGGGATAGTTACGCAAGCTTACAGTATTTGTTTCATATATCAAAGCAATCGATTTCAAAAATTATTCCTCGCGTTTGTGATGCTTTGATATCATCGTTGAAACAATACATAAAAGTAAGAATTATTATATATGGGCATATAATCCACACACACGCACACACACACATATATATATACCATATATATACATATATATATATATGTGTGTGTGTGTGTGTGTGTATGTATATACTTACATAAAAATAACAATTTATTTAAGATGCCAGAAACGGCAGAAGAGTGGCTTGAAATTGCCTCAGGATATGAACGACGCTGGAATTTCCCCAATTGTATTGGTGCAATAGACGGCAAGCACATAAGAATTGATTGCCCCATTAATAGTGGCTCTGATTATTACAATTATAAAGGGTTTTTCAGTATTGTTTTGTTTGCTGTGGTAGATGCTAACTACAATTTTATATTTGCAGACATAGGATGCCAAGGAAGAATTTCCGATGGAGGCGTTTTTAAAAACGCCCTCATATCTCAATATATTAACGATAATTTGTTAAACCTCCCAGAAGCGACGCTACTCCCAGGTAGTCTGCAGAAATGCCCGCATGTGTTTATTAGTGATAGGGCATTGCCTTTAACCACTAAAATTATGAAACCATTTGGGGGGTTTCACAGCAAAAATACAAAGGAAAGAATTTTTAATTATAGATTAAGTAGAGCTCGTCGGGTTGTAGAAAATGTATTCGGAATAATGTCCTCAGTTTTTAGAGTTTTAAGAAAGCCACTATGTTTGCAACCCGATAAAGCTCAGAAAATTGTATTCGCAACAGTTTTCCTACACAATTTTTTGAGGGCAAGTAAAACTTCCAACTTATTGTACACGCCGGTTGGATCCATAGATAGTGATATAATGGGTCACATTGTCGAAGGTGAATGGCGAGCAAATCACGAAACGGCACTAAATAATTTTGAACCAGTTGGAAGGCCAGCTTCTGCCTTAGCTAAAGATGTAAGAGAAGATTTTGCTAACTATTTTTTAAATGAAGGCGCAGTGACATGGCAAAATATGTACCAATAAAATGAACTTCTCTTATATATATAGAATATAAATTGTATTTTACAAGTGTAATTACAAAATGTGCATTAATAAAATAATATTTCACTATAAAACTATTTAATTAATAAATATTTACTGAAACATATAAACTATGGGCTAGTGTCCGGAAAAGTTATAAATTCGCTCAGGTTTTGTACCAAATTATCAGTAATTGGGTTCACCATTTTTGCTTTTCTCTCTTCAATGACTTTATTTTTTGCTTCACATAATACATCCATCAATTGTTTCTCCACATTCATCCTGACGTCCGGATCGAACCACTCCAAACTTTCGGCAATATATTGTACAGAATGGTTTTTTATGGTAGGTGGTTGTGGTTGTTGCAGTTGTTCCGGTTGTTTAGGTTTATTACATTCTGTTATATACTGCAATAATTGCGTTTTTATCAAAGTGTCCTGGTCATCTTCTGGCCTTTTTTTCTTTTTTTTTGTGGTGATACAAAGTCGTCATCTGATGATAATGTAGTTTCGCTATTCTGCAAAAAATGATACCGTGCAATTACATAAAGAAAATAAATGATTGAAATGATATATTTTTTTGAAGTGAAACTTCTTTATATGTGCGATTAGGGTGTAAATCAGAGTTAAATGCAACGAAAGTGCGTTACGACTAACCAATTCGTCATTGAGCAACGGAGTCGTTATTCGAAACATGTCGCGTATGTATTATCGTCTTGTACGGCAACTATGTGGATTACGGTATATCGAATGTCAACGCTACTATCATTAAGGTTATGTTGTCGACATGTAACTTTAATGAAAATAAACAAAAGCGTAATACAGTATCACTTGCTAATAATTATAATGAAAAACATTTAAAAATGTCGTGCTGTTTACTCGTAAGAAACGTAAGTTTTGTAGTTTATTATTCATAGTTGCTGTATTATATCTTTGAAGTAACTTCAATCGCAATTATTTTTATAGGCAAGATAAATTTCACTGTAGTATTTATTGCTGTAGATATGTATGTGTATAGGTTGTCTTTAGCTAATCAAGAAGAATATATACATCAGCAATTCCATAAAAAATAATCGTTGATATCGAAGGGATATTATAACAACTAATGTAGGCATCAGTGATGATATTGTTAACTCTGGTTAAAAAGGAAAGGAGTAGATATAGAATGTGACAACGATGATGAATAAAAATGAAACTATACTTAATATTAAAAAACGGAAAGGAATGGATCATTACTCAAGTCTCAAGGTAAAATCTTTGACAAAATATTATAAGAATACAATAAAACTCATAATCAACAGAGCTTTTCTGTTTGGCATTATTCAGCAGTTACCAGTATCAATGGATTGTTTACTGTTTCTAAAAACAAGGCACAAAAATGCCTCAGAACAATAGTACAAAAGACTTTCAAGCAGCAAGACTTTCAACAACAAATAAGTTTTAATTTTTTTTTTTTTTTTTTTTATTTTATTAATTATAACAATCAGAGTCAGAATGACTCTATGAGTTACAGAGATGGCATAATTAAAATAATATATAATAAATCAAAAAATTAAAAGTAAATAAAAAATAATAATAATTACAACTCATAATATAATTAAAACTAAAGGTGAAATTATAAAATAAACTAAATAATCCGTGAAACTGTTCCAATGAACAGCTCATTATTTTATGTCAAGTCCATGGGTATTATTCTCTTCAACCTTCTAGTAGACGGAGTCATAAGTAGAGGTGCTATAAGTTGATTTGGATGGATTTCTAGCTTGGAGTGATACAATGAACTTCTGCTGGTAATTACATCCTTAATAAAAGAAACATTGAGGTCGTCATGGATGATTTTATTGCTTACGTACCAGGGTGCGTCGGTGATCTGCCTTAAGATTTTGGATTGCATCCGCTGCATTAAGACAATATTGGACATGCTGGCGCAACCCCAAAGCTCTATACCGTATGTCCAAATGGGCTTTATTACAGATTTGTATATCAATAGTTTGTTTTCAAGCGATAGGATTGATTTGCGCCTCATTAGCCAATTCAGGTCTGCAATCTTCTGTTTGATATGCTTTATTTTAGCCATAATGTGGGTTTTCCATGTCAGTTTTCGATCCAAGTATATTCCCAGATATTTAACATTATCAGCTGGTGGAATTTTCAGGCAGTTGAAGTATACTTCAGGGCATGTTTGTTTGTTCAAAGAAAATGTAATGTGGCAAGACTTGCTCTCGTTAATAACAATGCGCCATTTTCTCGTCCATCGCTCGACAGCATATAAATGTAGCTGGAGCTTGATAGATGCAACGATAGGGTTGATATCAGAGGAAAGTATTGCAATGTCATCAGCGAATGTAGCAATTGATGTAGTTGGCAATGAAGGAAAATCGCTCGTAAATAGTAAATAAAGGAACGGACCCAGTACACTTCCTTGTGGAACGCCGGCACTTATCGGAAAAGAAGTAGAAGTTTCACAATTAACTCTGACTTTGAATGTTCTGTCTGTAAGGTATGACTTAAGAATTTCATAGTAGGATGATGGAAGGTTATATTTTATTTTTAAAAGTAATCCCTCATGCCACACTTTGTCAAATGCCTGCTTTACATCCAGAAACACGGCTGAACAGTATTCCTTGGCTTCGAAGGAGTTATTAATAATATTAACAAGTCTGTGACACTGTTGTGTTGTCGAATGTTGCTTACGAAAGCCAAATTGATGGTCTGGTATATTATTTGATTCTGATAATATATCTTGAAGTAAAAGTTTTTCGAAAATTTTTGAGGTAATAGGTAGAAGGCTAATAGGCCTATAAGATGAAACCAAATATGGATCCTTTCCAGTCTTTGGAATCATTTTAACTATAGAGGTTTTAAAGGATTTAGGCCAGAATTCCAGTCTTAATATAGCATTATATATGTATGTTAGACAAATAATACCTTTTTTAGGCAATTCTTTCAACATCCTCGACGAAATTAAGTCGATTCCTGGAGATTTTTTGTTTTTAAGTTTGTAAATTTCCCTGACAACCCTTCTCAGAGAGAAGAATTTTTTATTATTTCTAACAGGAATCGTTCGAAAAACCATGTCACAATCAGGAATTTGATTATCAGAAGATAAATTAGGCTGAAACACAGAGGATAAATACTTGGCAAAAACTTCAGTTTTATCCTTATCACTTCGTGACCAAGTCGAGTCGTTGTCAGCATCCCAACGAATTGGCGGGTTTCGCACACATGGTTTGAGTCGGTTTTTTACTGGTTTCCAAATAGAATTATCGAAGCGGTTAAGGCTGGCTACATAGTTGGTGAAATTAATATTGCTCATCTCCTTCAATCTATTCTTCAGCTTATTACTGATATTGTTAAAGTAGGTTTTATCTGATGGTAAATGGCTGTTATGCCATTTTCTTCTTGCTCTCCGTTTTTCAGCGATAAGCCTTTTGATTTCTAGGGAAGTAGATTGTCGATTGGATTGCACAGGTTTAGGCGTAGAGGATGAAGCAGCTTCAGTCAAAATGTTGTTGAAGTTTTCGATAGCTGTATTAACATCAGTTTGCGTTTTCAATCTCATTTGCAGATTGATTTTGTCCTCAACTTTTTTGCGATACATATCCCAATTTGTTTTCGCAGTGTGAAGGCATGGTGCTCGAGAAATATTAATTATAGATGAGCAGATACTGGCAATTACAGGAGTGTGGTCGGATGAAAGGTCAAAATTGGTTTCTATTTCAGTGTAATTTGTATTGATGCCATGAAAAATAAAGAAATCCAGTAGATCTGGTTTCTTTTTGGGATCTGAGGGCCAGTAAGTTGGAGTACCCGTCGACAGCGTTGCATAGTTATATTGGGAAATTACACTGTATAATTGTCTGCCCTTGGGATTAGTCAATCTTGAGCCCCAGAGAGGGTGCTTGCTATTGAAATCACCTCCCACTATGAACCTGGGTCCTAAAGATGAGAAGAAATCATAGAATTGAGAGCTGGTAATCGCATGACGTGGAGGGCAATATACTGCAGATAGTATGATGTTGCATGTAGCGAGTTTGACTTGGATTGATGTAGCTTGTAAGAAATCCTTGCTATATTTAGGAACCTCATAGTGAGATAAGTTGTATTTAATTAGTATAGCTGAACCACCATGAGCAGAGCCATCTGGATGCGGATTGTGATAAATGTTGTAGTAGGGAATGTACATATTGGAGTAATTAGTAAAGTGGGTTTCACTTACTAACAGCACGTCAATTTTGTTTTCTTCCAGAAAAATAATTAGTTCGTTCCTATGTTGTAGAAGTCCATTTGCATTCCAAGCACATATTCTAATAAATCTAGCCATTGATACTAGTTTCTTTTATTGATTAGTGTTGATAGCATGTTAATTATCATACTGTTCTGTTGCATTAGCTGGTTAAACATTGCTTTAAATTCCACTAGAAATTGAGAGATAGCTGAATTTTGATTTTCTGAATTGTTGACTGGGTTATGTGATTTTATAGCTTGCGCATACGATAAGTGCTCGGTGTTGGTGAGTCTGCCAAAGCGAGACCTGTCTGCGTAGCTTTGCGAAGCGGTAGGCTTGTTTTGATTGACAGAAAATTTACTGTTAATTCTATTTTTAGAATTAACTATCTGTTGATAAATGACGCAACCTTTGTAATTAGCTGGATGAGATTGAAAACAGTTTGCACAGACTGCTGGAGATTCACGCGACTTGGAACAAATTGAAGTGGGATGATCATCACCGCATTTTACACAAATAAACGGTCTATTACAATAGGATTTTGTATGGCCGAATAATTGGCAGCGACTGCATTGGGAAATTCCTGAATTATTAATCGGTGGATGAAAATGAATTATTTGGTTCAATATCTTGTTTATTTTGAAAATTTCAGTATTATTTTTGTCAGGTTCCAAGTCAATGTAAAACATATCAAGTGGGTTTTTATTTCTGTGATGCAACACATTAGTGATATTTCTAACTCTATGTCCCTTGGATTCAATTTCCTGCTTTAATTC